TTTAGATTGACTATATGCATATATTGAATTGTTAACTATAGTCCTGGATCCAGTTTTTTACGGGCTTTCATTTGGTATAAAATTCATTAGGTATCTACTTTAGAATGACATCGCTACCCCCTGGAAAAAGGTTTTGCAACACCCTGTACATAATATGTTATCTCATCGTTTTATTTTGTAGATATGACACGTTTATAGCGAGAATAGCTGCAAAAGCAGATTGTACAACACTACGCAACCATAGTAAACAAACAGAAAAAAGATAACTGTAAACCATTTTCTTTACCAGAGAACTTCTTTGTGAAACTATATACAATATTATCAGGAAGTATGAAGATTGTGGTCATATTGAAGACAAACTTAGATCTGATCGTCCAAAGAAATTATCAAGTGGACAATTAACACGACTGAAATGACTAATGAATCACAAGACTGGTATTTCTTTACGTCGAATAGTTTGAAAATTTAAAGTCAGTTTTAAAACAATTAGCAACAAATTGGAAGTTATGCGTATATGCTATTACAAAAAAAAACAACGAGCACCAAAATATACTGAAGAACAACTTCAAGAAATTCTGATTCGTGCTCATCGTTTATATCGTTTATTTTCAAAAGGTGATTATGAACTGTTGATGGATGATGAAAAACATTTTTTATTACACAATGAATCTGCACTTGCCAATCGGGGTTTCTATTCATCGGATACAAATACTACAACTCCATATGTTAAATTTAAAAGAACCAAGAAGTTTGAACAAAAATAACTAGTTTGGATTGCGGTATGTGAAAATGGCATTTCGAAACAATTCTTCTCAAAACAAAAGCAGGCTATTGTTCAAACAACTTACTTGGACAACCGTATTAAGGCACGTTTAATGTCATTCATCAAGAGATATTACACCGAGGAGAAAGTCTTATTCTGGCCCGATTTAGTTTCGAGTCATTATGGTCATGACGTAAGACAGTATTTGAATGATAATAAAGAAAAATTGGTACCAATTGAATGCAATCCTCAATACTGTCCACAATGACGTTCAATAGAAACTTTGTGATCAATTATCGACGACATGGTATATAAGAAGGGCTGAGAAGCAAGAACTATCGATTAACTGAAGAAACGAGATGCAGCTAAATTGAAAGAAATCGATCTGAAACTTGTACGAACTATGTTTTCAGGTATACGTAAAAAAATTCGAAAGATTGCTGATAAAGAACCTGACGAAGCTTGTTCTTTTTGCTTGTTGAAACTTTATCACTTGTACTTTTGTTTCTTATAACAAAAAAGAAATAAAAACAATGTGTTGAAATAAAAGACTAAAAATATTTTTGTACCAAAACTCTTTACACATAGGTTAAGTTATAGCATTTAGTTTATCCACATTGATGGACGAAGGCTGGTTTTTTTGTGGAACTCCATCGATAAAATGATGTTTCTTCTTCGTCTTAGCATCGATTATGGAGTTGATTTCATTACTTTCGAGTTGAAATGCACGCACTGTATAATTACCTGGGGTGATTACGCGCATTTCTGCACAAAGGTAAGGATATTTTCGGCCGCACTCTACGTATACAGTATTCTTTCTCTTCTATTCATTATATTTGATTTGAAATGTACGAACTGTATAATTACTTGGTGTAATTACGTGCATTTTTGCGCAAAGGTAAAGATATTTTCTCTCGAACTCTACGTGTACAGTATACTATCTCTTCTATATTTGAATATATACTTTAAGATCGTATCTATCAGCATTAATGTCGAACGCTGAGAATAAGAACTTACAGCATTCAGTTTATCCACATTGATGGACAAAGGTTGGTTTTTTTTCTGGAACTACATAGATGACTTGATGTCTCTTGTTCATTTTAAACTCGACTATGATGTTGATTTCATTAGTTTTGATTTCAAATGGATGAACTGTATAATCACCTGGTGTGATTACGAACATTTCAGCAAAGGTAGCGACATTTTTTGCGAAAGTTTACGTATCCAGTGTACCATCTATTCTATTATTCAAAATATACTTTAAGATTATATTTAACAGTATTAGTCTGGAACGCTGACAATAATAAGGTACATTATTCAGTGTATCCATGTTGATGCAGGAAGGTTGGATTTTTTTCTTGAACTAGATCGACAAATTAATGTTTGTTCCTCATTTTAGAATCAACTGTGACGTTTTCTGCAGCAGTATTTTATTTGAAATACAGCAATTGTAATATCAACTCACGTGACCATGCTGGTTCCTGTATGAAGGTAAGGACACTGTTTTTGGGTATCCATACCGATATACTGTATGTCCCACGCTTCGTCACAAACATATTTATGAACATTTGTATTGAATGGTGGTAATAAAATATTCCGACTTCTCTCCCATGTAAAAATTTTTTACAATTTAACGAAATCTTTTCACATGAAAATTCGTTAAAAATTTAACGACTTAACGATTAAATATGTTACAATTTCGACCTGGAAAACGCGTTAAATTTGCT